GCATGTTCATGCCGTCATTGCGTTCATGCCGGCCTGATGTTGGCGGCGCGCGCGTTCATGCGCGACCGCCACCGCGCATGTTGCGCGGGGCCCGGTCGGCGGACGCGGGGCGTGCGAGTTGATCCTGTCGTTGCCGCGCGTACGGTGCAGAACCGAATCGCTGTCCTGTCGAGAGCCTTGCCAAGCATGCGCTCTCGCGGCGCTCGAGGGTTGTTGCCATTCGCATGGATCGAGGGCCCGTCGGTCTGTCAAGTCGAGTCAGCGGGTGTTCGCGATCGCGTGAATCGAGAAAGGGCGGGAGAGGCAGAGCCAGAAGAGAGGAATACGTACGCGTTGAGCTCGCTGGCATCGCCGGCATTCATGTCAGTGTCCATCTCGACGTTCGCAGAAGCGTCTTGCGCGCCAAGGTTTGGCTCTTCAGCGACTTGTGATGGCTGCGCTGCTCCGTTGAGCTGGACGTTCAGGATCTCGACCTGTTCAAACATCCAAGCGACGAGTGTGATCACGATGGGGTCGTTGGCGGGAAGGCCAAGGAGTTCTGTCGAGAGCTCGGTGACAATGTCCTCCTGGTTCTTGCCGTTGACGAGGGTGAGAGTGATGTACTCGGCCAGTGCTGAGGCATCGTTGGACTGTGCGAGGCCGACTTCGATGACCTTTGCCTGGATAGCCTCCGTCAGGGCATCCGCCAGCGGGGTGTGCTGGGCAACTTGTGTAGGCATGGTTGCGAGCGCCTCGTAGGCGGGTTTCGCGTGGATGTGTGGGTCCTTGACGTTTGCGCTGGGGTGCGCAGGATGAAGGAGCTATAGAGCGATCGTATCGAGCAGGTTGATTGTCGTTGTTAGATCGCAGATGGTAGCTGAGACGCGCGTGATATGGGGGTCGTTGGGTAAATGAGGGTCGGAAAGGCTGCTGTGTTTTCTGATGACGGCAAATTCCTGGAGCACCTGCAGCCGCACGCTTTGCCTGATCTGGATTGATGTGGCGCACGAAGTCACGTGATGCTTTGCTTACGGAGAACCCGACTTCTCAGGTGGCAGGCTAAGTCAAGCACGATTAACTGGAGGGGCTGGGCAAAAGAGGACCTTGGGTTCAGAAGCCAACAGATCGAGGCTTTGTATTATTAATGTTCTTCGGTCGAGGTTATTCGAAAGTCATCTTGCTCACTGTCAGCCACAGCTGGACACTGAAACTGACATTGGCGACCGAGATTCGCTTTGCTCGAAGATTCAAGCTGCATCGACATGGTACTAGGTCTAGCTGCGTGCCCCCGTTTAACGTGCTGTTCGTCAACAAAGGACATGGTCCATGCCAGGCAGAGCACAGTTTCGCTTTCGAGGCTCAGGCTTTCTGTACTTGATCAGGTCGTGTATCTGTCAGAACGGGCCACTGTACTGTATATGATCAACCAATCGAACGAGATGATTCAGACTCCCTCTGTTCATCTTCGCTCGGTATCTGCACACCCTTCGAGCCTTGACCTCCAGCCTTTCGACGTAGAGTAGCGCCTCGAACAGCCCCCAACCTCTTACCTGAGACCCACCCTCTTCTTGACTGAATCCACACACCGCGACAATCCCCATTGGCCACTCACCCATCCTCCGTGTCGAATCTGGCACCAGAACTCCCCACCGACAAAACGCCATGCCATCATATGTCGCACAATTCTCGCAGCTTCCCATCGACCGGCCCCTGGTCCAACCAGGGATTTGTTCACAAAACGCGCCGTTGGTCTAGTGGTATGATTCTCGCTTAGGGTCACACCCTGAAGCATTGCTTGCGAGAGGTCCCGGGTTCAATCCCCGGATGGCGCCCAATCTTTTTGCCTATCTTGCCGTTAATGGGATCAGTTTGCCTTTTTGCCTTGTGCTTCAGTCCCCCCCCCCCCCCGTGCCAGGCTCAGAGATTGTGTCATTCGTGAGCTGTCTCGGCTGAGGAGGGCTTAGGTAGGGGCTGGTGTCGTTCTGTGTTACTTTGGTCTATCATTATCCCACGGTGTTTGTTGGTCACTCAACGTCCTGTCATCTCGTGTGAGGCAAACTCAACGTTTCCATGGTGGTCTATCACTCCTCGAACTCTCTCACCATGCACTCTGTTCTACCTGGCTAGTTCGTTACGCTTAAATCTCATGACTAGTTGTTCTCCGTGTGCCTCGACAGTTTTCTGCTCCTTTTGATGGCCCTCCCTGGCGTTGCTCCTATATGGCCGCGACGGGAGCTCATTATAATATCTGGCAAGCATAAGTATCGCAGCTTGTAGTAAATCCAACTTGATTCACTGGCCTAGAGCATTGCAGGTGTCGCACAAACGGATGGGTACCTCCCGTTGTTGATTCAGGGGTTTTGCGCTCAGGATAACGATCAAGTTGAACGCCGTTAAAATGATCAAGACTGCACGCTGCTACGTATGGCATTGAAGAGATGGGCAGACGCCTGGAAGCCCGAGCGGCCTCGAGCCGATGTTCCACCTACCCGCCGTCGAGATACTGGAGCTCGTTCGTTCTCGAAGTGTTTGGATCACGAAGGCTTTTTGTATGTGTGGTTGTTCGCATCCTATGTGTAGCCGCTGGACCGAAACAAGTTGAGCTTCTTCGGTACGGCTTGTACACCGGTGATACAATGGCTTCACCTTCTGGTCTCCGCAATGGACTGCATGCGGCGTGCGGCGCAGTTTGTCGATGTGATTTAAACGTAGCTCGCCTCAAAATGCTCGAACATGTCACTTTTTTTCTTCTCCCTCTTTTCACCCCCTTTCAAACCACCCTGGCGAGCTCGCCACGTCACGCGCCCGATACATAATGCCGATCAAGGGGACAGGCAACGTTAGAAAACGTCGGAGCAACGGCAGTCGTGATGCAGGATATGGCACGTCGCTCTCTGAGTCTTGGTTTTGAGCCTCAGTTCCAGGAACGATAGTTCCCCTGTCGTGTATCGCTCGACACCCGAACGCAGTACCATGTCGATGAATTCACCGTCATATCATATGAAATATCTTTTTTGGCCGCGGGAGCATGATCCATGCCCACTCTCGAAATGGGTATCAGGGCCTCGAGATACAGCGCGAACAGGCACCCCAGCGAGGACGACCTCAGGATCGTCTCTCGCTCTGAACTTGCAAGATCAAACTGCTTCTTCTACTTCGAAGCATCTGTGAAGATTCGCGGTCTGCGCGAGAGGAACATCACAGCAAACTCAGATGTCCTCCCTAGGCCCGAAAATGGACCAGTGAGCGAGCAGGTGCATCCGCAAGCGCTGTACGAGATGACTTAATATCACCCGCAGGGACGTGGGCGTCTGGGAGACGCCTGTGCCTTTTGCTGCGTGAGTACGTCTAACCCTATACTTCGGCTCTCAGCTCAATTGAAAGACCGAGACAGGCTCGTTCAGCTCTGGACGGGCAAGACGAATGCTGCTTCGATGTCTACGAATGCCCCTTGCGCTCTGATCTGTCGGCTGCACCCCCCAACCCCCAACTACGCCCGACTTTGGGCGATTCACCCTGTAAGGATTGCGATGTGTATTCGTGGCATGCCCGCTCTGATCATTTGTCGTGCCAAAGGTTATACTATTCGGCCATGGACCGGCTGATTGGAACCATAATGACCAGGCTAAGCATAACAGAGTCCTCACAAAGAACCATACAAGATCACGACGCGAAGTTCACCTACTGCCAGATGCACCGAAAACTGACTATATTCAGGGGTATCTGAGGTATCACACGGCCAACCCCCTTTTGCCTGCCCGCCTGCCCGCCCACCTGTCCACTACGCTTGGTATCAATGAGGTAATGCATCAACTGCCCGCCAACGTCTACTTAATCCAGCACCACGACCGGCGCATTCTTGCCGCCCACCGGTCCCTTGGCGCCCCCGCCTTGCTTGCCGAAGCTCGGCTTGCGCATCTGGTTCTGGTTGGGCGTCTGGCTCGGCCGCGGCCGTTGAGGCTGCTGGCCCTGCGAAGCCTGAGACGCTTGCTTCTGGCTCTGGGCCTGGCTCGTCTGCGGTGTGCCGTTGCCCGACCCCTGACTCGAGAAGACCTGGCTGACCTGCGTCGGTAGACCAGCAGTGGAAGCGTTATCGTCGGCCTGGCCGTTCCCGGTCGCATACGCCCTGACGGCGTCGTCTATGGCCTGGATCATCTCAAACACGCCCATGCCCATTTGAGCTACGGCCCCTGTCGTCAGACCCCTCCAGTTCTCCCCCCTAGACTCCCACACGCCCTGAAGAACCGCCTTAAATTCGTCGTCCGCGGGCGATGGTGGGCCACGCTGCTTACGCGAAGCAAACCAATACGGCTGAGCCTGGCGTTCCTTAGATCGCACATCGATCGTAAGCTGGCGCGCGGGGCCTGCTGTACCCGGCAAAGAGTACCGGATAGCAAACCAATCGGCCGCCGGGGTGAGGAGCTCGATGTGCCCCTGACCAGCAGCCTCTACTTCCTCCCATTTCTTTTCAATAGTGTCAAAGACTCGAAGGATCGGGAGCACGTCCGTCATGTACGCCATCATGACGCGTAGTCCCTTCTCCGTATTAACCACCTTGGTGAGCAAGTCAAGGATCCGCAAGTGCGGGTTATCCGGCTCGAGGATAAGGCGAGTTCCGCTCCGTGACATGTCGAGTACAGCAGTCCATTGCCGGGGCTCGCCAGTTTCTCCGGGGAGGACGATATCGGAGTACGAGAACTTGACTTTGCCGAGGCCAACTTCGGTACATTGAACTGCTCCCTTTGCGCACCGCATAGCATCGAGGAAACCGACCAACCTGTCAATCGACTTGATGTGGTCGGCAAGTGCCTGCAATACGGGCTTCCCAATGGAGCCGCGGATGTGAAAAACGAATTGCCCTGTCCTCCGGTCAAAGGCTACGTC